GGCGGCGGGAGCGCGTGATGAGGGGGGGATGGCGGGGAGTAGAAGATAGCCTCCTTAAGGGTCGCAAGGCGGGGCGAGGAACAGGGGGCGCACACCGCCACCCTGCCATATCAGTTTTAAAATATGACAAAAATTATTTTGATATTATTTAAGAATATGATAAAAGTGAGCAAATCTCAGAAATTATGCTGAAAGTGATGTGCACAAGCTTCTGGGAATTCTCAGTTTTAGTAATGTTTTTGACAAGGAAGAAGAACGTTAATTAAAAATTAGCTTTTTAAAGTGTATATGATTAAGAATATGAGCATGTATTTTCAGCCTTACTTGTTTAAATTGCTCAGTGGTTATATAGTCAGTTAAAATATCTGTTAGTATTCCACTTTGGTCCAGATGCTTCAGCAGCCTTAGAAACCCTTATAATTTTGAGTTCATTAGAAAACTTTTTTAAGCAAATAACTATTTCATCTCTATAACAATTGAATAATCTCATTAAGATAAATATTGATTATTTACAAGAAATATGGCCCCAAAATTGGAGTATCGGATTTTAACAGGTCAATGGTCTGAAGTTTTAAAGGATGCTAAACATGTCTCTTACAATGGGACTTATTCATTTTTTTTTTCAGCATGGGGGGGTAGTTTACTGGATCCCTTAGCAGATGTTTCAAAAGGGTTAGTTACTAACCTTTTTATGCTGCAGATATAATAAATTCAAAGGAATGCAAACACAACTCACTTTTGTTATGCTTTCTGGCTGTTTCATGTTGGTTTAATGTGGCTGATCAGATTTTAGCAAAGGGGTTGGGATTTAAATTGTCAACATGTTGTTGAATTCTATTCCTAAAATTTGGAATTGATCTGTTTTGAAATAACTTCTGACAATCTTCCTGGATTATTGGGGGGGGGGGGGTTTATAATCCATTTTTTGGAAAGTTACCAGATTAAAATCCTAAACTGAGTCTTCTCTTAATTGATGTGGGTCTTATCTGTGATATTCATACATTTTTATACAACTGTTAGATATTAGTGCTATTTATTTCTAATAATATCTATTGTGATTTTATTTAGGTTAAACAGATGCATTTTATGGATTTTGTTGTCCGATATTATGAATTATTGCAAATCTTACTTTTGGCAGAAATATTTCCCTCTTGCATATTGAATTAAATCTAGGAGCTGAATTTGGAAAGGGTTTCTAAATGTTAAAATGGGCTGTTTCCCAACATTTGTTAATGATCTGTATGTCATCTCAATAGAATCCGGAGCTTAGCAGTAACCAGAAAAACAAGCATCAACTGGAAATATTATACCATTTTGAATCTAAAGAATTTATTACATGCTTTATGAAAATTGTTTGATATGTAAATACCAGCTGTTAAGCAGCTTATTATCAGTGTAATCATGGGCTATTGGACAAAGTAAGATACCAAACAGCTTGCTATATCTTATCTTCACCAAATAAATTCAGACTATTCACCATATTAAGTAAGGAGACTCAGTTTACAATCAGAGACATCCATGTGTCTCTGTGTGTGTGTGTGTGTGTGTGTGTGTGTCAAAATCTACAATATGGTAACCACAACATTGTGATTTACATCCCTCCTCAGATGTCCCTGTTTACAATCAAATACAGGGGTTTTAAAAATTCCCACTCAGCTAGTCATTCTTGGATTTACAGTACATACTTGGGTTGTGAGTCAGAGAGAGACTGTGTGTATATTTTATTCATTTCAAGTGGCCACGTACTGAAATAACTCTTACATTCCCAGTTCTGCTTTCTTGAAAATTACAGTTGGATTTTTTTCTGATAAGACATTGCTTGTTGTTAAAGTGCCCACACTCACTTTTAGCAATTAATAAAGAATTGAGTTTCTCAAAACAGTTAGGAATTAATGATAAGTTTTGGGACTGAGTTAACTTCCACATTAGCAAGATGGGTTACTGCTTAGGGTATAATCCTTGTATTATGATGCTTTAGATTTTTCTTATTGTTCAGCTGAGCTGCTTGGTTCCTATTTAGATTTCTTATGGCTCCCACATTAATGGAAACCAATAGTTCTTATGAATAAATGATGGTGTATTTTGAAGGCAGCTGTTTGTGAATTCATAATTGAAGGTGAGGGAGAGGGGAAAAGTGCATGCATATTTACTTTTCCAAGACTCACTTTTCTTTAATCCTTTGTTAATGAATGTAGAGTTTGTCAGCTTTGCAACCTGTTTACCTCCAACTTTGAAACGCCATCAGGAAAGGAAAAAAAAAAGAAAGAAATTGATAAAGCTCCATCTGATGAGTAAAACCTAGTTCTGTTCCAATTAAGTGAATGCCAGCTGTTGCCTAGCATGAGTGAGTTATTTTGGGATGTGAAGGAGGCATTTAAAGGATAATGAAAGGAATAGCCATTTATCAATATTGTAATTAAGCATTAATTGTTTGTTCCATCAATTATTAATGCAGTAGTCTTGGGAAAACAGTCTCAGCCCTAAAAAAAACAAACAAAAAAACTCAATCTGCTTTGCCTGAAAATTAAAATAAAATAAAATGCCACATACTAATATTAATTTTTTTTGTATAAGTAGCCCAAGAGTTGGCCAGAGTCAGTTTAGGAATTAGACTTCCTCTATCTTTAGCCATTTAGTGCTTATCCGATCATGCTTATGAATATAATTTTTTTTGTGTGTGTATTTCAAGTTAATTCTGAAGCTGGCCCAGCCTATGAATATTAATGTGCACACAGCTGATCTCCCGGCAAATGATCACATCCATAAACATGAAAACACTGTTAACTTACAATAATGAGCACACTCTTGGATTTTGGTCCCAAGCTGGCTTTACAAGTCTAATGTTACATTTAATACTATATTCCTCTCTTCTGTCTTTTCCTTAGTCCCTGTGGAAACTCTTTTATTAATTTAGCATCCCCCTCACCCCAAGAAATTGGGACCTGCATTAACTCTTGTACTTGATGCAAAACATTGATGGTATTACTTTATATTTTTATCTGTGAATAGGCTATGATCATAGAATCCACAGTTACATTCTCTGATTTAGCTGTCCATGAAGAGAGTATACAGATTAGAGGTCCTCCTCAAAGATAAGATCAGATTTGAGACTTGTGGATAAGGGCTGCCTTAATACAAAACATTCAAACTTCTTTGCTTCCTGATATCTCCTGGCTGCCATCTTGTGGTCTTCATGAGTTCTGATGCTCAGATCTGGAAGCCATTGGACCTACTAATTGTGAAACAGCCTCCTACTACCTTCAGAGCCTTTGGTGCCAAGTGAAAACCCTTTTTTATTTCACTAAGCATTTCAAAAGCTCTATGAATTGCTCTCAACTTGTTTGAATTCCTTTTTATTTCTGCTGAGGTGCATGGGAGGAGGAGGAGGAGGAGGAGGAGGAGGAGGAG